AACCCAGGAAATTGGTATTTTATGTTCACCTGGGGGGTGAATATTCCTTTTTGTTTTCTATTTAAAAATTCCTAACTGCTTTCCAAGTCAGAATTCACCAGGATTCGCTGAAGACTTATTCTTAAAAAGCCTTCGTCACATTTTAACGCATCGCTGTCATACACTTTTAGGGCTCACATAGATGAGCTAAGCAGGGAAGAGAAAAACCTAACATGGAATAATGGGTTTCCGAAAGTTCATTTGATCATTTGAAGGAATTGGATTTACCTTTGGCACAATTGCGGAATGGGGGGTTGGGGAAGTGAAAAATCAAAGGTTGGAAGGAAAAATCTGGGAAGGTAGAAAAAGGAAATTTGAGAATTGATTGGCTCCAGTTGCTGTCAGCGGGTGGATGTCGGTTTTTTTTTTTTTGCTTCTTTTTTTTTCCTTTTTTTTTTCTTCTTCTACAGGAAGTGATTTGCAGTGCTCACCGAGCCTTTGTTGAGAAGGGTCTCCTCTCAGAGTGAGTCATGCTTTTGCTGTGAGCAGCCCCAAGCAGCTGGGCTCTCCATCACAGGCAACTATGACTTTTGCAAAGCAAACGTTCAACCCCAAGCAGCGGTCTCCCGGGCCGGGGCTGCGCGGCCGCCGCTGTGTTGGCTTTTAACGGTGGGAGTGCGTCGTCCTCTGACTCCGCTCTTCCTCTCCAGAAGGCTGTCCTGGGACCCCAGCTCTTCGTCCCGCTCCGGGGCCAGCGGCTCGCCTGCTATGCGCGGCAGCCCGCGCGGGGGCCGGCACCAGCAGCGCCCGGGCGGATGCGGCGAGCCCACGGAGGGGCATGCTTCCACGCACCAAGTACAACCGCTTCAGGAATGACTCGGTGACATCGGTCGATGACCTTCTGCACAGCCTGTCGGTGAGCGGCAGCGGCGGCGGCGGCGGCGGCAAGGTCTCCGCGGCGCGCGCGACCCCGGAGGCGGCCCCTTATCTGGTGTCCGGCGAAGCCCTGCGCAAGGCGCCCGACGATGGGCCCGGCAGCCTGGGCCACCTGCTTCACAAGGTGTCCCACCTGAAACTCTCCAGCTCCGGCCTCCGCGGCCTGTCGTCTGCCGCCCGGGAGCGGGCGGGCGCGCGGCTCTCGGGCAGCTGCAGCGCGCCCAGCCTGGCAGCCCCGGACGGCAGCGCGCCCCCGGCGCCCCGCGCCCCGGCCGTGAGCATGAGCAGCGCCAAGAAGGGCCGGCCAGGCGACGAGCCGCTGCCCAGGCCCCCCCGGGGGACGCCGCACGCCAACGACCAGGTGTTGGGACCCGGAGTCACCTATGTCGTCAAGGTGGGTACTGGCGCGGGCCGTCCTGGTGGGGGTCCCGGAGGCCGGGCAGGAGGGCCAGCTGCGGTCAGGCCTCTTCCTGAAGCCCTAGGGTGCGGGGGGGACACCCGTGGCTGTCACGTTAGAGGCGAGGAGATGCGCACTCCTTAGAAATCAGTTCGGGAGCAAACTACAAATGCGCCTTTCCCGCATCCATTGGGAAAAGGTTGAAAAAACGGCGTGACCTCCCTCCGTCTTGCCTTCCCCTGGGCTCCACCCGGTTGGCAGGCCTTTGCCACCTGGCCTCACCTAATGTCCGGCCAGTGCCCCTTTCACCGTGGGCGCTTATCCGTGGGACCGAGGGTCTGGCCTACTTGGCGCTGCTGAAACACACTTGTTAGACCTGGGCAGTCCCCTGCGGGGATGAGAGTTGCACCGAATGTCACTATTTCCACTGTGTCCTCGCCTGTTGGTGGGGTGGGCAAGAGGTTGCCCACCACAGCAACAATCTCCAGTTCCTGGCAGGGCGGGTCAAACGCTGGCTTCTACTTTTCTTGTGAGCAAGGTTTTCGTGGGTCTTTCATTCCATATCCAGTGGTTTTGGTTTACAGCAGAGAAAGGAGAATTTGGCACTATTTTCCCAGCGCCTGTAGCCTTCCATTTAAATGGGCTCAGAGTGGCTGAAGGTGCTGCTACCTGAAGCCACAGGCTGGAAAGGAGTTTTTCTTCCAACACAGAGAATTATAAAAACACGAGGTAGTTAACAGATTTTTTTCTTTATGCAAACATGTTGTGATGTTTAAGGAGCAAATACTCAGCTCAGTTCAATTAATCTGTCAAATGCTTATTTCCTCCTGGCTGCCAGGCAGCGGATCAGCAGCCTCCACACCTGGACAGACTTCCCCTGGCCAAGAGGGGAAGATCCAACTTACATTGGATCCAAGACATGTTTTTTTTTTTTTTTTTAATTGAAAAAGAACTGAGACACAAATTCTATCCCCACCTGTGTTAATAACATTGCAAGACCAGTGGGGATATCTGGTCTGTAAATACTGGCTGCAGATCCAATCGAGGACAATCAGCAGAACGCATCTTCAGGTAACATGGAGTATCTTGGCAATTCTGGAACCACAATTTCCAAAGAAACAGATTATTGTAAGGGTTATCTTTACCTATATGAAAAGCACTGATAAATAATATGACTATTGGTGTTTAAGAAAGGGTCCCTTCTTGTTTGAGTCTGCATTTTAATTTGACCTGCTTCTTAGCTTCTGAATATGGATTATTATATTTTACCAAAAGGGATAAAGATCAGCATAAAGTATGCACACTTGGTTGAGTTTATCTTAAAAGAAATGAATATTCTTCTTGTATTGCTTGTTTAAAGTACATAACCAGGGGCCAACCTCACCCCCCCCCAAAAAAAGCCCCCCACAAAAACCCAAAACCAAACCAAAGAACCTTGACAACTCTGAGGTTAAACTGTAACACTAGAGTGTATTAACCATCTCTAGAGTGTTAGTGTAATTGCTATTTTTCAAAAAGACTTACATTTAAAATACATCAATATATCTTGACAAAGCTTCTATGTTGTGTCACATATAGAGGGTAGTCTTCCAATTGAGGATAATGTCAAACTGAGGCTTTTAAAGTTTTCCTTGAAAAAAGTATCACTCTGCTTAGGGCTTTGATTCTGGGTTAGAATGAAGGCCACTGTCCAATTCTGAAGGTCAGCTGTGGCAAAATAACGATGATCATTCTAAAATAAATCTGCTCGGCTTGGCCGTCTTTTGAGTGACCCTCAGTAATGGTATTCCAAGAGTCAGAGGGCTGGCTGGATCTGTTCAGAGCCTGTCTGTGTCCTGTGGGTTACAGTGACCCAGGGGGTACATAGCATGACTAATGAGTACTGGGTCCTGTCCTTGGTTGGCCCCCTTGCTCATCAGCAGCTGTGAACCACAGGGTCATGTGAACATAGATGCCTGCTTTCTTGGAGAAGTTCGAAATCACGCAGAAAGGAAACCAGACACTAAAGGATAATTTCATTCCTTGTGCGCATGTTGATTCAAATTATCACATGGCCCTCTGTTGGTGCACATGTGCAAATTCCCATATTGCCCATGTACAGTTAAACCACCAACGTATTTTATTAAAAAATCGTGAAACTGGGGGAAAAAACACCTTTATTTGGGTGTTCTTTACCGATTTGTAAATAGTTCTATTGATATCCTTCCTTTAAATGATTTCTGGTAGATAGAAATGGGCAATCTTTATCATGTGACTGGATATCAATTATAAAGTCTCAAGGTCTAGAGTTTGAGAAAGGACTTGTTATTCTCTTTGAAATATATCTTTTTTCCTAAATTAAGGAAAGCCCTGGATGGTTTCCAGTTTTCTGGAAAATTTATATATCGGATCATTAGAGACTTTGGCTTCTCAGAAATACCTGATGACAGGTGTTATCAGGATGTTGCACACAGCATGATAATTAGCAAATATTTAAACTTGATTTTCTTACGTAAGAGGAGGACTGAGAAATACAGAAGTCTGGTGGTTTCTGATCATCTAGGAAGCCTCAAAGCATTATATCATTAATATTGATTAATGAAGAATCAAAATTTAACACTGTAAAAAAATTCCTGAGCAACACGAGAATCCAAATCTTGTGGCATATTTAATCTGTCCTTTCTGCTACCATTAAGCTTGCCATTTATTAACAGCAAGAGGTTATGTACCTGAGGAAGTCTCCAGGTCTGTGTTCATGTCAGGGAGTCCCTACCAGCAACACCTTTTTACACATCTGAGTCTAGCTACAACTTGTTTTTTTTTTGTTTTTTTTTTTCTTTTCATTTTGGTGACAGAGAAAGAACAAGAAAATATGCCTTGGATAGACAGAAAAGAAAAACCCAACAGCAAAGATGAATGAACATTTTCATTAAATTTCTATTTAAAACCTGTTTTATATTTGGACCTAATAGATGGATAGAAATACAAAAGAATATTGATGACGGTGCTGGGCACCTTAAAATTCTATTGCCCTAAAGTCCAAGCTGGCTAGCATCCCAGTGACCTGCAGCAGCTGTAGGTTTTTGGTAGGTTTGAAGGCAATATGTTGCTTCTCAGGTCCGTGCAGGGAAAACTGAGCAAGGTAAGATAGATGTGCATAGTTTAGGGGGGGGTGGAGAGGAGCTCAGTTCTGAAAGAGCCACTAAGCTGTTGCAGAAGAACCATTCAAAGACAAGGCTGAGGCTCAAGGCTAAAGACGGGAAGGTGACACTGTACGGGCTGCACCGGGACAGCCTTTGGCCCCTGTGGTAGGTCCCACGAGAAATGTGCCTCCTCGGGGCACATCACAGACTCACACAAGGCTCAGAGGGGTGGGGATGTGGCTCATTGGTAGAGCATGTGCTTAGCATGTTCGAGGCCCTGGGGTCAATGAGCAGCATGTGTGCGTGCACACACAATCAGAAGTGACCACATTTAGAACTGACCCAAGTGCTAATGTCAAGGATCAGGAGGCCTAATTTAAGAGCAAGGGTTTAAGGGCACACCGCTCAGAGCTGTGATGCTCTTGCCAGTATTTACTGAGCAAGCTGATGATGCCATTCATGAATTTTGGTGACGGCTCTGTCAGACTTCTGCAGGTTTTGGTTGGTGGAGTGTCACTCATTAATGAAAATAATCAGCTATCTGTAGGAGATCTTAACAATCAGAAAAGGAGTGGATTACTTCCTGGTATGTGAGACTGCTTCTCATTTTGCATTTTACCATATAATATCTACAGTGTGTTCTAGATAAAGAATGTCTACAGTGGGAGGCATTTTTTGAACATAGGAATAGCCCACTGAGTGGGTGGATGTTGACCCGTGTGTGTGTGTGTGTGTGTGTGTGTGTGTGTGTGTGTGTGTGTGTGTGTGCCATTACACACTAGAATGGATGTTGGCCATTGGGGTATATGTATATGTAACTGCATTCCCGAGTGGGTGGGGTGTGTGGGTATGTAACTTTACGTGGTGAAGTGTGGTGCATGTGGATGTGTAATTGCACAGGAGGACGGTTGTAGTGGGCAGATGTATGAGCAGCTATACCTTGACACTTATAATAAGCTTTTGGACCTATAAATTCATAATGACTAGCTTCTGGTTTGGGTAAAAACCAAACTGCTTTGTTCCCATTGTGATTTCACTTCCTCCTCCCTTCACTAAAACAATAAGAATGAGACAATTGTCCCCTGACATGTGCAACAGATGGTGCTTCCCAGTGCTAGGATTGGTGACTTTTCTCAGAATTTCAGAACAGTTACAAATGTCACCAGTTCAGCTGGAGTAGGGGCAACTGGGCATCTCTGTTTAGACCACTTGATCCCCAACAAGATACCAGGAGCCAAGGGCCGTGATTTCATAGTCACCGCTGTATTGCGCTGCTCCATCTCCGTGAGTGGGAAGGTGCTGGGTATACTCCAAGCCTCCTGCCCCACCTGACATGCCCAGAAGGCCATCACCTGCTGCCCTTGGTGAACTAGCATCTTCTCAGCTCCTGGAACGCGTCTCTGCCTTGGATCAGCCTTTTGCTCTTACCAGGGCAGACAATGGCAGCTTAGCTGGATCTGTGGCTTCATTGATCCATTTTTAAAAATATATAGTACCGGGGATTGAACCCAGAGGCACTTAACCACAGAGCCACATTCCCAGCCCTTTTTATATTTTATTTGGAGAGAGTCTTGCTGAGTTACTTAGGGCCTCACTAAATTGCTGAGGCTGGCTTTGAACTTGTGATCTTCCCGACCCAGTCTCCTGAGTTGCTGGGATCACAGGTGTGCACCATGCTCGCCCTGCTCCAGAAGTAACTTAGCAAATCCTACTGCTGATGGGGAAGATTTGGGTCTTTAGCCATGATTCCAGGCTCCTGGGAGGAACTGCAGTGAAACTTGGAAGCTGCAGAAAAGGCATTTCAATGAGGTTGTCTGAACTGGCGTTTCCCTTGACCGTTCGAGTTCCCAGAATCCTGAAACCCTGGTGGCCATG